CCATTTATTTCTGTATTTACATGACTAAGATTCAACTCACTGGTGAGGAAATGCCGTAACATACTGACTTCCACTGCAAGGATGCTGATGGTCCTTCTGATGCTGAACTTGGATGAACAGTGACAGTTTGGACAACTCATCTTTGAAACACAGTGAAGGTTGTCTTGTCCAACCAGTCCAAAACATGACAGAGAGAGAAATAATTTAAAAAATGAATCTTGTAATAAAGGAAGAATGGAAGGAGGAGGGTACTTTAGAATTGTAGTTGGCTTATGATTAAACTTTATTATTTTTTCTGTTTTGTATTTACAATTGCATTGATACTAAGTAGATTGTGGTCCATTCTGTCCTGTTCTAGCTTTATAATGCAGCCCACGCCATATTAATTGAGTGCCTCCAGGGATCTGAGTGAACAAGATGACCAATATCTATCATGCAACTGTTCTCCCCTTCCATGGAAGGAGGTATTTCTGCAGTTCAGGACCTTGTTTTGGTAAGCTGTTTTGGGGGTTTTTTGCTTGTTATTGTGGTTTGGATTGGGGAAGGGGTTCTTCTTCAAGTCAAATCTCTGGGTTTCCCTAAGAAAAGCAGATCAGGGGAAGGAATGTGCACTTAAAGTGGGAAGTGCTGAGACTTGCAACATATCTCAGTCTTGGGGAGTCTATTGCCAGGCCTCAGGCCCTCACAGTGATGTGAGCATTGTTGTGCCAGAGGCCAGGGTCACCATCTTCATCTTCATGCTCTGGCACCCTTTTAGATACTATGCCAGGGCTCAGCATGGCAAGCCTTGAGATGCGGACCAGGACCTCAACTCCAGAGGAAGAGGGTGTATAAAGCAGCAAAGGACAGTTCTGCCTGTGCTTGAGAGGGTCACCAGCACCATGCTGGTCTGCCAGGGCTCTCCTAGCCCTGGAGGGCCATGCCCAGGTGCAGGCTTTAGCAACAGTCAAAGCGAAACATTAGCTAGGTTTACGGCAGAGGCCGAAAGGACCAAAACAGCCTTGGCTGTACCATCTGCTTTTCCTATCCAGCATTTGTGTCTGCATAGTTGATCTCCCCTCCTGCCCCAACAGCCCTCACGTCCAGCTGCAGTGGGGTACAGGTGCTCCTGCTGCAAGAGCCACTGCTCCCACCGGCAGCCAAACCTCCTCTTCCCCCCACGAATTCACACGCAGCAGGGCCTGTCCTGCTGCCCTGCTAACAACCACCACCCCACAGTGCCCCGCAGCCCCGGACCCAGGGGCGCAAGCAGCTGTGATCCAGCTGGGCCACATACACTGCCGGTAGGGCACAGCGAACACATTGGGGCAACTGTTTTTAAATAAGACATGATAATTAACTGTCTTCCTTCAAGTACACAGAGGTGCTGGGAGGCCATTAACTTTGACAGCTGTGGTATTTCTTTCCCCAAACACTTATAGCCAGTGTGTCAGTTGGAGATGTTACACAGGACAGCTCCCTGCCCTTCTGTGTCTGTCCTCGCTTTATTTCAGGACTAAATACATCCTGCGGTGGATATAAGCCCTTCCTAAGTGGAAGATCCTGTCCATTTTAATGGCCCCACTGTCTTGAATAAGGACAGGTTGCCCACACAGAAGTTGACCGGATCAAGTCTTTGCCCTAACCCAGCCTGCTTCAGCATCCTCAGGCACTGCAATGATTTTCTTTAGAAGCAGGAAGTATAAATTCAAATGAAGAACATGGCTTAAGCAGAAGCAAGATCTTTTAAGACCCAACATTGGATTTTACTTGAAGAATGTATGCTGAGATTGCAAGTGAGTTGGAGTGGGACCATGGTTTTGATCTCTTTGTACAGCACCTAACGCAACGGTACCAAAGCTGCAGAGAGGGCTCCTCAGCACCATCAAGCAACTGCAGCAGTGCTAGCGCCTGGAGATGTCCGTCTGTCTATGAAAGAAACTTGTCTCCCTTCGTGCCTCTGTCCTTGTCCCTGGATTGGACTAGCAACCTGTTTCAGTTTGTGCTTTCCATTTAGGCTAACCTCAGACACTCGGTTTCCACTTGATTGGAAACAAGTGTGCTGAAAGCTGTCTGCTGTTTCTTCACTCTACAATGTGGACTGCTGCCTGGCTCCAGTCTGGAACCAATTATTTCCCTCCTGTACCTACCCGTTCTGAAAAGGGACTTATCCCTAGACTTTTTTTTTTCCCCTCTTTCCACTTCTATTAGCCACTTCCTTCATAAATAAAAGCTTGTCATTCTATAGAAAGCCCACAGAACAGCTCTAGCTCCGGACGTCACGTGCTTCTGTTACGTGGCAAAAATGCTGCCATGTTTCAGGGCCAGGTTTCCCTTGGGGAGGTTTGTATCAGTAAATGTGCCATAGTGAATTTGGTGCTCCTTTTTCCTGTTCTGATAGGATGAATATCTGACAGTGCTTGGATTTGTGTGACTAAGGAAGGGCTTTAAGCACCCGTTGTGGTTACGCTGGTGTAAATACTCTTAAACAACCCCAAAGAACAGTCAAAACATGCATGGATATGCAGTAGCGCTTGCAAGTACATGCCGATGCCATTGGCATAGCACAGTGCAGCCGTTTTAAAAGAAGAAGTTCATGTATTCCTGGATTTATCCTTTCTTTCAGAAGTTCCTACTTTTTGATGTGTGTATGCAGACACGAGGGCATGGGAGCAACAGATGACCAGAATCTGCAGATACTTGCAGCCAGGGGGAAGCTTATGCCCGTGAATAGTGACATTATACTCAGCGGGGTCACTTCTCAGAGGAAGATTGATTACATACTTTATTTCATGAAAGACCAGTTCCTGACCGAGCGCAGACACTGAGGAAACGGGTTGGAGTGGAAAGAGACTAAAAATCTCTTTTCCTGCACTGACTTCAAAATAGCATTTCTCTTACTGGAAAAACAAACATAAGCTCATTTTGGGTGTCTCTGCCTGCCTGCCTGTGGGATTGGCAATCCACACCTCCTGCAGATTTGGAGACCTCTCTGCCCCTGTTTACGCTCTAGAGGTTGTGCCTTAATTACAAAAAGCTAATCTGCTGCGACATCAATTTCTCTCTCTAGGGGAAATTCCTAGCTGGGAAATCCTAGCAGAGACAAATTGCTGTTCTTTTTTTTTTTCCCTTGGCCAGTCCAGACCAACCCCAAAACTGCTATCTGGGTTTGACCTTGACTACTGCTTTGAGAGCGAATCGCAGAGCCTGCTCTCCTGAAGTGCTGACGTACAGACAACTCTTTCCAATGAGTTATCTTGATACAGAAATCACTCTGTATCACGGCCAAGAGCCTGCTCCCTCTGCCAAGCGGGACCCATGCCTGGGGGCCACAGGAGCTGAGAAAATGCTGCCTGTGGCCTACCCTGGATCAGAAAGGATGGACACCGTCCTGGGCAGGTTAGCCACAGCCCTGCCTAAACCTGGCCCAGAGCCGCAGCAAGCAGACGTGCCCCATCACAGCTTACAGCCCTGGCGTTTGTCGTCTGGGGGCCACCTCCCTGCCTTAGGACGCACTCACCCAATGCCACACAGCCTGGCGGAGAGGGCTTCATGCCAACTTTGGTCTGGCGCAGACAACCGACGTGCAAGTCGGAGGAGTCAAGGAGTGAGCTGCCATGCCTGGGGGAAAGGGGATGCTGCGCAAAATGGCTGGGCCAGTGCCTGCCTTCAAGCTGGCTCCCTGGGGGCAGGGGTGGCCTTTACCTCCGAGACCCTAGGGGTGCAGGTACCACCCTTTGCCATGACCGCTGTACCCAGGGGAGGAATAGGAAGGGCGGCAGGGGTGGGGAGGCCGGGCTGCGGATGTCCCCTCCGCCGCGGGCCGGGCACCGCACGCTCTGGCCGGGGGTGGAAAATGGCTCGTGTATCTTTAACCCACAGCGGCCAAAACGCGGCGGTGGTGGGGTTTTTTCTTTGGGTTCTTTTTTTTTTTTTAGTTAACAATGGAAACTTTTTTTTTTTCAGTGTTTCCCTCCAGCCCAGCAGCGCCGAGCGAGCAAAAGAAAAAAAAAAAAAGAAACTTGTTCCGCTGAGTTCAACCCCAGACAGGCTCACATCTTCCTTCCT